AATAATAATAATAATTAATAATAATAATAATAATAATAATAATAATAATAATAATAATAAATGACAACAATCCGTTACACAACTGAAAAAACTAACGTAATACTAATGAAGATGATATAAAAATGAATAATGACGACAGTAATTTGAAAAATAATAACAGCATTATCATTCACTGATAATAAGGATAATCACTGAGGATAATATTCCGTTGTCTATACGTTCATATGTTCATGTATTTTGATCGTCGTCATTATGATTACAAACATGATTTGCATGAAGCACGCATGATTAATTTCCGATTTTGCGTGTCGATCTCATTGCATCCATTCAAACTAAACATGAAAATATATGCGAAAACGTTTCATCGCTCACAGTCGCATGCAACTGCCCAATGTTAGATGTTCTTTCTGATTCGATTAATTTTCTTCCTTTTTTTTTTTGAAATTATACGTTGAATTTTGCATGCATTTCATTGAAAATTCATGTACGCTCTGAATGAGCAGCGTGATTAACAGAGAGCAATTTGAACACTTTCAATTCTATAAAATGGAATGATTTTCGGCCAAAAAATGTATGCAGATGACAGGTTAACCAATAAGCAGCAAGCACATTTTACGATCGACCTGTCTACATACCAAACAAAGTGAACGAAATAGACGAGACAAAAATTTGATTTGATCCAATTAATAATGAAATAGGAAAAACGTAATAGAAAAAATGAAACGAAAAAAATTTCCAAAATAGAACCTTAAAAGGAACAAAGTTTTATTTTACTATCATTTCTTAATGACATTTTCATTATTCATTCAACGACTACAAATTTACGTGAAAAAGCATTGCTTGAGCTAAATTTCGGTTCAATTCTAAGAGCTGAACACTTTTGATGGAAGAACGAACTTTTGATTTGTCGTTATTGCCTACATGAAACGACAATGTCAAGTGACTGATAATCTTTACAGTAGATTCACGTGCAAACGAGTAAATCCCGCAGATGTGGCACACAGATAATTTATTAGAGATCTTATTAACAATAAGTATATTCGTCTTGTATCTGAAGCTAAGCTTGAACTTCATTCTCTCATGAATCCTTCGGAATTTGAACATCCGCCTAGAATAATAATTAACAGTTTTTTATACCATTCCACTGAACTTCCGTGTAAGTCGATTGAAGCGAGGCAAACTTTTAATGAGTCGTATGAGTAGGACTACGTAATTGGTGGTGTGAGCAGGACTGTAATCAGTCTCTGTTAAAAAGTTCAAAGCAGGATTATAATCAGTCTCTGTTCAAATGTAGAGCACGAAATGTTGAACGAAGAGATGCTCTTCTCTTTATAGTCTCATCACTTCCATCATTACTTCATCTCTCCTGTAAGCAGCGCATCTGATTTCAATTTTATCTTATAAGATTCCCCACTGAGATGATCATAAGAACAGTGATATCCATAAGGACAGCACATCTCGATGATAATAACCACTTATAAATATAAATGATCATCGCTTACACACTCTACCTCTCTTATTACGCAACATTTCATAGCCAAAGGCGTCTACGTCTATCACTCACTCATATTTCCAATCTATACAATTTCAACTCAATTTCGATTTCTTAAACTCAAACGAACCAAAACGTCGAAGCACAACATGTGAGCATTATTCAGCTAACAGCTCATCTCGCTTCTTAAACACATAACTTGAAAATTTCTGCTACTCTACGCATTCGCATTTGTTAGCCTAAGTCTAAGCCTGAGGTTACATCTTACATATAGCGCAATGCCACTATCAAAGCTTAAGGCTTACTTATCAAAGCATTACTCACATTTTATCAGTTCAACGCTACGAAGATGTTCCAGTTTGTTAAAGTCTCATTTCAAATCACCTCTAAGAATTGCCATTTCGTTACTTTCATTTTAGTGCTACAAAAACTCAAACTTCACACCGAACACTCTGATAAATTGTACACAAAGCGGCAGCTTCCAATCCCAGAGCTACAGTTTCGCCTTACTTTGCTTTCGTATGATTTTAAGTACGAATATACGACTCAAATTGATAGCTATTTAGAAATTTATTATTTTTGCTTATTACTTTCATAAACAAATTGTACGATATCTCGTTGTGTCAAATTGCTCCATTCTTCACAATTCTAGCAATTTTCATTTGTTATTATCATTTTTTCATTTAATTATTCTCATTCCATGAACACTGCATCAAATTGCACGACCTTACTAATTATATCGTAATACCTAAATACCCCAATTTACTTTCAAAGCATTCGCGTTGATTCCTATTTCCTTAAACTCGAATGCAAACATAAATCAGTCTTTCATTGACTTTGTTCGTGTACAACAACAATTCATAGCATTTTTTCTTGTGCTAACTCATCGATACCAATAGATTGAATTAATTATTTTATGAGAGGTCAATAAATTATCCAGTTATTTAATTTAACTGCAACCTACCTACCTCTTCCTTTTCGACTAACACAACAATCAGCTAACCAATTTCAATATCTCATTTGCATACACATCATCTTCTTTCAGTTTTTTTCTAATCATATTACAATATGTGCCTGCTTTTCTTATCTTATTATTACTATCAACATCAATATTATTAATGGTATTATTAGTAATATAGTCATTATCTTTCTATATTTTTAATTTACTCACACAACCTTACTGACTGGTATCTATTGGTTCGTAGGTCACATTAGAGCTTTGTGCTGAAAATTTGTTTTCTGTGTTCATGCAGGCTTTTTGTGTATGACACTGCTTATTGCTTGTTCATCATATCAGTTTGAATGAAATATGGTGTCGAATGCAGCCAGTACATACTTAAATATTCATAAATACATGTCTTTCGTGTAATCCGTCTGCTGTTCAGTTGTTGCGAGAGTGTTGAAAAAAAACTGAAAAAGAACACAACCTTCAACAACTCAGTCTGTAATTTCTGAAATTCTACGATGTCTAATCGATTTGTTCGAAATGAATAAAAAGTTGATCCTCGATCTACTCAATCAGCTCAAAAGATATCTATCATCGCTACAAGCTTGCTTATCAGTCGCACGATCAATGATTGATTTTGCCACCAACTGCTTATCGAACTAACTGAACAACCCATAACCTTGCCTCAAATATCTTTTTATCCACACTCGTTCCCCCATTACGTGCACTAAGTCGCTTGAACACTCAAAAAACAGAACCCAAAATTCTATGCGAAGGTCGATGAAACCGTTTACATTAGCTATTTCAGATCACCTGTTGTTCGTATGTCCGAAACTGATAGCAATCGCTCAAATAATGGCTCATTATTTCCGAGGATTCCCGAAGGAGAGGTAATTTAGTTTTAATCTTAGGCGACAACACCTAGTTTCACATCACCACCACCATCACATTTACTTTAGGCTATCACAATGACAGCGCTAAATCAAGATCAAATACATGTAACACAAGCGACAACTTTACCAGAAAATAATCAAATCATTACACTGAATGTGGCTGGACTGAAATTTCAAACATTTACGTCAACATTATCAAGGTTACACTTCAGTCATTCACAGCATACATGAATGCACTTTACATAAATATCTTACTATTAATGCTTTTGTTTATTCATCTCGAAAAGATATATCAGAAATCTTTAACGAAATTTTGGTGTAGTTTCAGAGTTACGGATTATTGTTTTCATCAAAATTTTCTTTTCATTTCTTTTCATAAATCGTCGTCGATTTCTCTAGAAAAAAGCGCTTTTACGAAGTCGCTATTGTTATTGCCCATTCGCAATATAATCAACAGTGTTAGTTTTATCTTTTACAAATCTGAAGTCAAACAGATTTCATTCAGAGATAGACTATTCAGATATCCAGAAACGTTGCTTGGTAATCCAGTGAGTCGTGCACCGTTTTGGAATGAACGAACTGGAGAATATTTTTTTGATCGGCATCGTGCAAGGTAGATATCGGTCAATACATATTGGACAAAGGCATAAACAAAATCATGAGGGCCTTCAGAGCGGGGGGGGGGGGGAAAATACCCAATTTAGGTAATTTGGGGATGTCGGGGTAATGGAGGGGGTCGGTAAATTAGTATGTCGTGCAGTTATTATTTGATGAATTTGATGATAGAACGTCATTGTGATGGTGCTTTTTCACTGGGGTATGTAACTGCGGTTACTCTTCATTCTCCTATTTTCTGAGTATTATTACCTCGTGCGGGCCTAAACTAGTGTGATGCGGGGACGGAAAAAAAGTCAAGGATAGGGAAAATCGAGGACGAAATTTTGCAGTCCGGGACCTTGAAAATACAGTCGGCTCAAAAATTGTCGTGGATGAGGATTCGGGGATTAAATCAACAAATAAGTAGGATATTCATGCAAGCGGACGAGTGAGCATGTTCAAGTGAAAATATTTCTAATTACAATCGAACGTGATAAGATTATTTATAGTCTTCTGCTCTATATGATCATTATTCCTGCCCTCAGCATCCACCACTAATTTTGTCATTTTTATTTCAGTTTCGAATCAATCCTGTATATCTATCAAAGCAATGGTGTTGTGAAGAGGCCAGAAACTGTGCCGATTGATATTTTCTTGAAGGAAATGAAATTCTTCCAGGTGAATTCTCTTCGAACAAGCTAAAATTCAACTAGACTAAACACTAATACTAGATAGCATATCAAATGTCCCATAAAACTGATCGACAGATAGATTATCAAAAAGTTTGCATCGTCTTCACTTTATGCGCACCTTACAGCTAATACTCTCGGACACTTGATAATTCATCGGATTTGTCAGCAAGGAATAAATCGTATTTGTTATTGGATGCACTCATGTGAATGCTTGCTCGATACCACGAGCATGATATACAATCTAGTCAAAAATTGAAATAGATGAATAATTTTGTATGCATAATTGTAAGAACAGTGGTAATTAATAGCAAAGATAAGCAACGACTTCAGATGACTGATGAACTTGTGGAGGCATTTTGGATTAATGAAGGTTACGAGAAGCCGGAAGAGACAAAAATGCCGCAGAATATCTATCAAAGACGTTTATGGGAGCTAATGGAATATCCAGATTCCTCACTATCTGCGAGGATATTAGCATTCATATCTATTGTTGTTATCACTACGTTAGCATCACTTCATTATTGAGAACAATCATAACAGTTATTAATTTCATATAAGTTATCGCTTTCTCTTACACAATAATCTATTCTTGATTAGCCATATGAATGCAACAACTTAGATTTTCACCTTAAATAACCATCTTTCTTGTTCAGCTCAATTGTCTCGTTCTGTTTGGAAACACTTCCAGCACTTAAGCCGGCCGCCGACATTGATGGTGTACGTGATTGGTCGAATCCATTTTTATGGATCGAACTCATTTGCATTATTTGGTTCACGATCGGTAGAAATTCGCTACTTTCTCACTCTATTCCCCCCATATTCTAATATCAATTTTCTCTTCGATGGAATTTCATTTTTTCTTTTAAATATCTTCTAAGACTAGCACACTTTTCATGAGCAACACTCGAGCGAAATGAATTAAATGAATTTGAAAATCTTTCAGAATTATTGTTACGATTCGCGAGTTGTCCATGTAAGATAGTATTTATGCGTTCATTTCTGAATATAATTGACTTCGTCGCTATTGCGCCTTTCTTTGTGAATTTATTATGGTAAGTTAAAGATTTTTTTTTCAAAATTTTAAAGTTGTTTCGCAAAATCTCCTGTATAGAACATTATGAGCAATCTTTACGCATTTTCGCAATTTAAAGATAACTACCCGCATGGTTCACTCATTTTGGTGGCGGACAGTAATAGAACAATTTATTTATGAATACCAAATTTTAAAAAACAACTTCCACACAGTTATGAATTCTGATGAATTCCTCATCTCGAAGGAAGCTCACTCTCAACACAGCAGTTGGTTACAGTTCACGAGAGTTTGCCAATTTCTTGCTCATTCCCAATGCCTTAATTATAACTGCAGGTCTGATGCCAGTAAATCAAATTCATCTATGTCTTTTGCTGTTCTTCGTGTGCTTCGGTTGGTACGGGTATTCAGGATATTCAAACTGAGTAGGTAAGTAACTCATTTAAATTACTACTCAATTCAGCAGTATATTTCAAATTGAAACACAGCAGCATTGTGCCATCGTTTGAATTTATTCAAGCCAACTGCAGGCATTCTGTTGGATTACAAATACTCGGTAAAACGTTTCGTGCATCAGTGCAAGAATTCTGTTTGTTGATCTTCTTTATGGCTATCGCACTTGTGCTTTTTTCGAGTGGTGTTTATTTTGCTGAACAGAGTGAACCAGATACCAAATTCACATCAATACCAGCCTCATTTTGGTTTGTCTTGGTAAGTGAGCAGCTTTATTGTTTCTCGAATTGTTTCATTTCTCGTCTTTGATAAAATATACGATCCATATGAATTTCAGTCACAAAATCGTGCTATGTTGCGTGTATTAATTCAAATATCCTTTAGCTTTTTTCATTTGATAACAGTTTCATCACGTTTAAAACGCAAAAGGCCTCGGTTTTATTCATCTCTCACCTGCAAGGCTCAATCAAACGCCATCATCGCTTTTCATATTGTTTGGAACATTTCAAAGAATTTCTTTCAAAATTGATCAGTCGCCATTTCATCTCACATGAGAAGTCTGATTAGCCACCATAACAGACTGAGACGAAACCAACACTTTTCGAAAGAGCATAAAAAGTTGTAAAATGAATTATTTCACTTCCTGCCTAATCGACCTGTTAGCCGAGATATACGTTGTTGAAAACCACGAAATTTGCACACGAATCTCATATTTTTTCAAACCTAAAGTGGCACAGGCATTCGTAAAGGAAGTTTCTCCCAGTGCTGTTCTACTTGATGGAGATAATTCATAGTGTCATGTCATACAGTTGCATAATTTCTGTTTTGATGAGTATATGTCATATGATATCATTGCCCGGTGGCACTAGGAATCAGCCTAAGATGTGGTTCATGGATTGCTTGAGTATGCGTATGCAGTTGCTCAAGGAGCTTCAAGAATGAGTTTCGAAACCTGTTTTTTAATCAATGAGAAGCTGAAAATTATTTGAATTACTCAGCTTAGAACCGAACTCTTTGGCCTAATACTCAGTGCTCAACCATTTAACCCACTCTGCCGTTTAAATCTAAAAATAGTGCAGTTAGGCAAAAAATGAAATGATCCATAATGGAACTTTTGATTTGGTTTCGCCTCAGTCTGTTATGACGACTGATCAGACATCCCTTGTCAGAGGCAAGCAAATTTTAAAACTTTATAATCTTCTTGTAGGTTACAATGACTACGGTTGGGTGAGTACAAAAAAGATTAATTTTAATGCTGTTTGCCTTGTCTAGCAATACATATATATTTTGTTATTATGTGTGGTTATCATTTCGTTGCATTTTGTTTTCAATTTACATTTCATTCAGTTCGAATATTCTCTTGATAGTTCTGCTGATGTTTAGTGATTTCGCAAAATTTGAATTTATCCTACATGTTCTTTTTCTTATTTTTGTGGCTTCTCTTCAAGGTACTCTTTGACAATTCTCATTTTGTAATGTTCAAGTTGAAAGTTCATTCAACTTGCAAAAGCTTGTAATTAATTACGAGTTTCATAATGCTTCACGTTGTTGTTGTTTACAATATTATGTTGTTATTTTTCAATGACCGCTACCTTCTTGTCCTTGTTGTTCTTGTTACTGTTGATGTTTTTGTCCGTTTGGTATTCAAAGGAATGAATTTTGGTTGCTCTTCGGACATCTGAATAGATCAAAAGTAGCTGCACTCTCATATTATTACATATCTTCAGCTATGGCGATTTGACTCCGACAGGAGTTTATGGTAAGCTAGTTGGTTCGATGTGCGCACTCATCGGGGTTCTAACGCTTGCATTACCAGTTCCAATCATTGTGAGCATTTCACACTTATCACTCAAACTGATTCATTCAGTTTCTGTTTTCGAAATTCAAGCAGTAAATATGATGACAACGAAAACGATAGTACCATTTGTAAGTGATCCTAGAAATTCGAACATTCTAGACAAAAATTCGATTGAACCTGAAATCTTTCGATTAATATAATGATGAACTGAGGCCAAGCAACTGTTTCAGATTGCAAAAATGATAGTTTCAGGTTGCAAATTTCAAACATTTCTATCGTCAGGAGACTCGATTAGCAACTATGCGTATTAATGTGGTTGATAAAATGGATGAGCTTGATGATGAGGAATCAGATGAAGACGACGAAATAATCAACGGTGATCGAGAGGAGATGTTAGATAACAACAACTTGCAAGGTGCAACCGTCCAGCAACAACAGCAACAAGAGCGTTGCAACGCCATATTTGAGCCATTAACTCAAGTTCATGTTCAAACTGCACCATCGCAAGCTCCTGCTAACGCTAATAATATCAGTCCATCAGTAGCTACAAAAAGCAGCACCTTAAACGCACCGACTATCAGTACTAGCAATGCGAGTTGCTTAACTGCAACCACGATGAATACCATCTCGATCTCGACACCAGCATGACTAGCGGTGCCAAGGGGTCGACAGCGCATTTCGACGACTAGCAGTGGCTGTTCGAAAGCAGCAGTGAAACGACGTCGTCAGTCGTGTGGCACGATGAGGATAACGAAGACGCCTCGTCAACGACAGTCGTCTTCTTTCTCTTCAGTCACACCACCTGTTCTAGCCACAAGCACACCTGCAGAAGCACAACGCACATCACTGCTATATTTACCACCCGTCCTACGAAAACTCTCAAGTGTTCAAGCATCCTCTACAACACTAGCATCAGCATCACGTCGTCGTCATAAGCAAAATCGAAAAGCCAGTCGTACTTCCTTGGCGTCTTCTGTCAACAATGCATATTCACCACCAGCAAATCGTTATCATTATGCCTCTTCCCACCGCCGATTCCATCGTTGTAATTCAACTGATAGTAGTTCATCGGATACTGACTTTGATACGTCGCAGACAACTGCCGCTGCAGCTGGCGATGCAAATACAGCCGTTATTACAATATCACCTCAGTTCTTAAGAAGACGAACATCACATATGCCTCTATTTCCGTTTAGAAAATATTCTTAGTTTTTGCTGCTCATTACCAATGAGTGAACTCAAAATCAAAAATTAAATTCATCCACCAAACGCATCACAAATGAAACGAATCTGGCGCCCAAAGCAATGCTATACTTATGTTGTAGCCGATACAACGTTCTATCAATCACTCAAAGCAATCATAAAATTCCTGAACGATAACGCAAATTCTCATACCTCATATTGTTGTTTAAGCAAGTAGAAATAAAGCGTCTTGCGGGTCATTATTAGGTTTCAAAACGTCTGTGTGATTCATCCGATAAAAGTCAATTCAAATTTCATCACATAAACACAAATATCACTAGCACACCGCCTAATACTAATCTGTCTGTGATCATCACTTGGTATCTCGTCATTGTTTCTTGTACATACACATGTATTATATATGTAATAATATAGTACACATAGTTATAAATAATTGATATATTTTATTCGCAGTCGACAATGAATAAGTATTATGCGTTCATAAGCAACGATTAAATACGCTTATATCTTTGTATAAATAACCAAGTATATGAATATATGGATTATTAACCGATGCATGAATAATCTGTTATTACCATTATTATTAAAACATTGCGACAATAATTATTGTTTTTGTTATTGTTAGAACCGTTATATTGTATGTCACTATAACAGCTCAAAACCTCGCCGTATAAAATTATAAACTACACAATTTAATCGAGTTGTCAACATATGAAATATACGAAAGGACAGAAGGCTCAGCTGGCATACAAATTCACACATTGAATATGCATACTGATAGAAAGACGGTGTTGCGTAAGGAGTTGATTAATTAGTCGGTTACAACAGAGTGCACATGTACTTCTCGATGTTGCTATGTTCAGCAGCTACACATGATGATAACAATCAATAAACGTGAATGCTTATAGCAAAACAACACAAGGAACAAGTCATCAATTAAAGTCGACATTTTAAAAATAAGATGTGCAAATCTGAATGCAATTAGGATTATATAATGGTGAAAAGTCTCATATTTTTGCTAATTATAATATAAGTTTGGAAGCTATAAAGCACTTATGACTGTAACTTACTCGTGCATTGCCACTTGCACGTCGGATACCCTTCCTAAGAGACACGCTCATTTTCCAGGCTTTAGGCCGACACCATAGATTACTGACTTGCAATCACTTGTGGCTGAGTTGAAAACATAACTGACCGAATCGTTGCCGAATAATATCTATCGGCAAGTATTTGCCTTTTGCACTAAAACCAATCAGCCCTCAGTTTATGGTTATAATTTTTTTTAAATCATATGACTCATTCGATGTGACCAGCTGATGAGGAATTAATGAGAGACAAATATTCATGAACGATCTGAAAGATTATCATTATCATGAGAACGTGATGGTAAAGGATAAAAATGCATTGGCTACATTCTGCATAAAGGCATCCGGATGTATTCGTCAGACTGTTTGAATTTTAGTACAATAAGAGTGAGTGTTAACTTAAATTAATTAACTCTGCAATAGTGAACCAAAAAATCTCTTCTCGTTCAGTGTTTATGTGTGTAATATGTTGTGATGCAGCAGATCCAGTGTTTGTTCATACGTTCATCGGTTCTATGAGCACAACGAAGTCGAACTGATCACATTACCCCAGTTGATTCTGTTGAACTGGTCAAGGCGTCTTCAGCCTTACATCGCTTTCACTAACAGCCGTTCCAGCAGAGCGGCACTGAGCCTCATCTTCTTCGCTTCTTTATCTCATCATTTCCTGCCAGTCGTTTGTTAGCCCTTGGTCTAGTCCATGGCCTTACAGCTTACCGACCAACCGCTCGCTTTGCGTGCCTCGAAATCAGTTGGTTCGGCCAGTTACCTTGACTAGTCAGTGGTGTTTGTAAGTTATATATTGCTGCTGAGGCTTACATCTTTCCTAGTTATTGCTTTTCTTTTATTTCGATGCAATTCATAACACTTTTGAGTTACTGGACAAAATTGCACCACGAAGTTTTTTGCTGTAGAAAGGTGTACATTCACTGGTTTGACGAAGTAAATGCACATGCAGATGCATTTTGCATTGCCAGATAATCGTTCGGTGACCAGGACGCAACGAAACGAATCAGTGAGGCACGAATCAACATATCAGCGATTTAGCATTCCATCACTCAAATGGAATGAATCTCCTCAACACGACCATCATCACTCATGTCATCACTAATATCTGCCACTAACGAAGCTCCATTGGCATTGATAATGCTTCTAATCATCATAACATCTCAAGAACAACTTCCACTCGCGCCATACAGCCTAAAAGTACGTACGTACGTTCCTTTACTCACTTTCACTATCACTTAATCAGTTGTTCTACTATTTGTTTATCAGATGATCCGGCTGAGTATAGTGTGTTTAAAAAAATATTTAAAAAAACAGGGCAAATCATATGAACTTACTGTCGGTGAGAAAATGCGCATTTTTTTCAGCTGTACTGTCGTATGGGTGCAATGGATAGTAAAGAAGCAAATGTTACCAAGTTATGTCCAACGGCTAGTACGGCATGCGGCTATCTTGAATTCAGTGATCCAAATGTTAGTAGAAGAACGATTTCCAGTGGAAATGAAAACAGCGTCGGTATTTATGAGTGCGTTGATTCGAGTATTTTCATGACTGAGAATGAGGACAACGAGAACGCGAAACAGGTTAATAAAGTTCGTATTTCAACTGAAATGAAATAAAGCAAGTTTGAGTTATTCACACTGTAATGTAAGTACAATTGAAGGATATGTTTGCGAGATTTTGTGATCATCGAGCACGTTGTCGGATAATGTCAGCTGGTTGGTTGAACGGTCAATTCCTACAGTATCTTACTAAAGTGCGACGTGTTGATGGCACTAGAGCTAGGTCAAGTGCGATTGTGAAATTTTGTTGCGCAATCAATGACGCACTATTGGACGAAGTTATTCGTTCGGGCCTTAATGTTTTACGTGCGTTTTTCGTTTGGCTTTTCATTTGCATGCGTTGAACACGTAAACGTTTACGTCAGGAGTCGGCAAGTAGCTTTGACCGCGGGCCAAAATTTTTCCTATGCATTAATGAAGAGAAAATATGTGTCGGCGACACAGTCAGTCGTCTATTAGGAAATTCTGTGTCGAAAATCTTCAGTGTAATTAATTTAAAACCTTTTTTCTTTTCATTTTTTTACCCCTTTAAAATCAAACTCGCAAATTCATCTGGCGGGCCAGAAATATTGTCGGCGGACCAATTTTGACCCGCAGGCCGGCGGTTCCCGACCCCTGGTTTTCGTGATCACGTCTCAAACATGACTATTCAATAATTATATATATATATATACATATATATATATATATATATATATATATTTAT